AATTGACTCTAGAATGTGTGTTGACAAAAACAATGTATTCTGTAGCAGTTGAGGTTGTATACAACTGAAAAGGCTCCTTTGCAAGGGTGCCATACTATACCAAAACACTATGATTAGGTCAAATGTATGTCGCAGATTTGAAAGGTCTGTTTCTGATGATTGGAACAGATTCTTTCAGGGAGAGTTTAGCCGCCCATATGTGGGCGCGCACTTTCACTTGCAGGTGTTCTCTTCTATCTATTGATGCCATGCCCTAATACAAAAAGGCATCAAACAACGGCTCCGATCATCTGACACTTTGATGTCAAACATCTTCCTGCATTGGGCTGCCAATGCTGCCTGATTATACTACTTCTATGTACAACATGTTCCACGCTCCTGGGATGCAAAGACATGCACTTCTTAGAAACATTGTGTGTTACATCGTCGTGCTTCTGGCACAAAAAAGAAACTCACCCAGTCTAGCCTGAACAACCTCTTACACACGATAAATCACGATAAGACAAGTCACGTTTTGTATGTGCCTTTCTTAAATAAGAGTCCTTCTGCAAAAAAGACGGCCTTGCAAATTAATAGAGGAAACACATACTGTAACTAAAAGGGTGAAGCTGTCGCAAAGGATGAAGTCTTTTCCGGCAAACGTTGTCTTTTGAAAATAGAAAGCCTCTGTAAATGATGGATGTAATGCAAGATGGGGCTCGTGCAAAGGAGTGCATGCTCATGAATTATAACACTGTTCCAACATGCGACATCATGCATCATTCATTGATACCCGAATTTTTGCAGACCCATTTACAAAGGTCAACTCAGGCTAGTCAACCACTGACTGATGGGAATAGTTTGCCAAAGAGCCACTGAGTGGTGGGAGAGGTCCAGTTTCCTTCCTCTCACGCCGCCCAGCTCGGTTGGGCCCACGGACGCTGTGCGTGCGCACAGCGGAACGGGCCGTGCAGAACGGCGGACTACGAGCCAGGTTTGAGCGCGGTCCATGCGGTCTGGGAGAGCACTGGCAGGTCGAACGAAGACGAGAAGACCAGGTTTTGGTAGGCGAGATCCAGGCTACTCCCGCCAGGTGTGGTTCCCAAGTGCATCGAACATGTCAAGTGAAGTTAACAAAATAAGAATACAGTAAAACAATGTAAAACACCTCGATCATGATTCATCACCGCATCCTGTGAGGCGATCCTCCAAGGGAGTTGAAACTGCTCGAGTCCTCATCGTTCCTCTGCTTTCGAATGGTCCTAAATGACTCATTTCCCTCTGATTGGTCCATTGGGAACCCGTGTCAGGACACCCACGGCCATCATTCTCATGCTTCAAGTTAGACCAAACCACCTCTCTAAGACACCTATCCCGAGATCACCATGACATACCATGATCCATGGTAATCTAAGCTCCTGAAATAAAAAATAGAAAGTCCCTAGTGCCACTGGTCTTCACAGATCTTCTTCGATGAATCATCGCCCATTCTCCTCTCACAAAATGAGCCTATCTTGGACCTTCCTCAAGCGCCACACTGGGGGAGGCCATGGCAGCACCAACCTCAGTCGTGCTCAAGACTCCGAGGACCTGTTGAGTTGAGCTTGGTATCTTAGGTGGTTGGAGGTGGGTTTAGCATGGGCACATTCACCTGCCAGGCATGGTCAGACGGTCGGACGTTGTGATAGTCTATGTCGTTCTCCTCATGTCACATCTCACATAAAGAAAGTGCTCTACACATGCCCGGAGATCAATAGGATGGAACATCCAAGTAAGAATCCCGAACATGCACAGAACGGAATTGATCTGCAAAAATGCACCGCCCGGAGGCGTGAGCTGGGACCCGAAGGCATCTTTCTGATGTGGAGGCAAAAAAGAAAAAACACCAACGATGTCAGCAAGTGGTCCGGTTCCCCAGTTGTTCTGGGCGCTGATTGATGTCCGAACATATATAAAACTATATAGTCTGTCCGGGATATTAATCAGGGTCCCAAGGACAGTTTAAGGGGCGGAAAAGCTCTCTTTCAGCCAGCAACGGTTTTTCTGCATTGGCGAGTGTGCCGTCGGCACCCTAGCTCGACATCCGGCGCCATCGGCGGCAAAGGGGACGGCCCGGGGAAGGCGCGTGGAAACGCTCGTCGAGGATTGGCTGGTCCGGGCCAGGTTTGAGGCAGCGCTGCCCACCAAAACTGGGACATGAGGGATTTGTTAAAGGTTCATAGCAATGTGCCAAACCCCAACAGTGAACAATACCATTGCCATCCACTGCTCATCTGGCTTGGGCATGGCAAAGGCAGGCTCTTTTCAGAAGTTGATTGTGACTGATTCTATGTATATATATATATACAAGTATATACATATCATTGTATTGTATTGTAATGATAATCCCTCACACCAGTGAAATTCAGCATGCAACGGATTGGATGTCAGGTGCTCGCCAAGAGCAATTGATTGATTCTTTCCTCCGCAAACTGCTTTTTCACGGATACCTTTTAAGCCGACATAGGTCTCAACAGCTAGACCCTCTGGCCCAAACTCTGTTTGATGGATGCTGCGCAAACCAATCTCAAAGAAAAAGGATGTTCTTCGGCAAAAGTGGTTGCTCATGACACTGGGTACAGCACAACACCTCGGGCGCCCTGTACACTCATGAGAGTGAAGAGGACAGAACCGGCAACGAGGAAGCCGTCCCGCCACCCCATCGCCGTGCAAGGCTAAGGCGGCTAAGGCCGAGGCCTTTGGGGATATCAAACAATGCGCCCAGCTTGTGGGTTCTTATATGTTCTTACCTTATGCCACTAAAGTATAGTAAAAAGTCATAACATGTCACACCTACATTAAACAAGGCTACTGCTGCCTGCCTCACGTGGCTGCAAACTGACACCCGCACCAACGCTGTAACACAAGTGAACGGGGTCAGGCTGGCCAAGGGTCCCAACCGTCGTACGGCCAAAAGCCTTGTATCCTTGCACCCAAAATTGCAGGCGCATTCCTGACATGTTTTGTGCCATCCTTGGCGGAGTGAAAGGCCCCTTTTTCATTGTCAAAAAAACACATCGAGGGCGTGGTCAATGGTCACAAATCCTAACAATTGCATGACATGAACAGGCTGCATGACCTCCCCCCTTCCATGTTGAAAGCATCCTGACAAGTGGAGTGGCTTGGACTTTGCTGGCTTTTTGCTCAGCACCAAGGGATTGTTTCCACACTCCCCTTGCGAAAAAATATTGCCACGATGGATGGCTGAAGCAAGGTCTCGCAGTCTCAAAAACATCTTCCAACATCCATCGTGAAGAACCTGTGGGCATCTCCTCCCCGCCGTCCCCTAAAAGTATTCATTCTTCATCTGGTTCCTCCAGTTCGGTGGGACATGTCTCATCCCATTGTGCTGGGACACACTACCCAAAGCCGGGTCCCGGGTCAAAAGTGCTGCCGGTCTCGTGTCCCATCCTCGACACGACCAGTTGACATCCAAGTCAATCTAAGTCTAAAGGTGTGATGGGCAGTAGGGGAGGAGCATTTCTCCGTAGTAGCGTTCTTGTTACTACTAGTAAGGCACTTGTTACTAGTAGCGATGCACTTGTTACTAATAGCTTCTTGTTCCTAGTCTAAAGGTGTGATGGGCTAGCCATCTACTTTGCCGTCCAACTAGAGAGTTAGAGAGGCATGCCCCCTACATAAGGGTCGTGGAACGGGGGAACCCGCTGAAGAGGAACAATCCAACTACAACGCGTGGTGAATAACAAACATGTCTGCAGGTGATGGCTTCCCCTTGCATTGAGTAATATTGATCTCCTGTGGGACTCGCTAAAGCACATCTCGCTTTGAGGTTTTGAACTCCTTGTTTCTGCAACAAGCGGAATGAGTGATGCCTGATTCTGAGTTGTCCAAGGCACAATCCCCATCTGAACTCATCCATCCACACCTGTAACATGCATGCCTCACCTATTAGCAGTGCAACTCTGGGGGCCAACATAAATCCTAAGTGGATCCAGTGCAAAGCAAGTGATTGGAGAAATCTGTCTCTGGCGTTTAATTTATAGGTAATCATTATAGTATATAGGTGTTGCCCTATGGGATTGCCACCAACAGTGACCAACACAATGCCACCGGACACGTCCAGCACCGGCAAGTGTCCTAAGTTCATTTGTGTTTGGCATTCTGCAATTTTTCAACTTTAAACGACTCTGATGATCCAACAGGCATGCTGTTGTATGACCAAAGTGCTTCCACACCCCTCTGCATGAATTTATTGCATTTGTTGCTTTTACAAAGCAGCCGTTGTCTACAGTGCCACCATGTGCCACCTGAACACCTCGAACATCCAACGATCAAACATGCTTATTGTCTCTATGTATGTACCCTCTATTTCACAAAATGTGCCTTGCTTCATCCATGATCGAATCCTAGGCAAATTCAGCTCTGTATGCGCAGCGGTCATTGGCAACCTCCCCGCTCTTCGAAAGCCAGTGCTTTAGTGTGCCTGATGGACAAACTGCTGATAAATGCAACTATATGTGAGGCACACAATTGTTTCTTTAGAGATGTGGGGATGGGCTTGACGCAAAATAGAAACTTCATCTCGCAGGTATATCAACGATGACAGGTAGGTTAAAGACCCAATCAATGAAGGCCTTCTGGAGCTCTCAGCCTCTGCGTGACTGAGATCGGGGGGGCCATGCACGATCCGCCACTTCCCAAAGCTGTTTCTTTCAGCCTTAGGACATCGTCGACGCATCTTTGCCGCATCTTTGGCAGCATCCTCACTCTAGTTTGTCTCAGCTTTTCTGAGTTAAGGTATAAACAGCAGAAGAGCTCCAAGCTGTCTCTTCCGCCAAGAGAGATTCTAAAGGCACGTTTCCTAACCGACTCTCATTGTGCCATGATTCTGTTGTGTGTGTTTGCCCCTCGTCCTCATGCTACATAACATGTACCTGATTAGTAGTATACCTCTGAACATTTAGGTGAGTCACTTCTCCTTATAGCTCATTATCACCACAGACCAAACCCTCTACTTGTCCTCAAGACTCGGTGTGGGCTGCATGTCCGCCGCACTGATTGCCTTGGGGGCAAGCTGGAGAAAACTTGCAGTATGGAAGCTTGTTTCTAGCATACTGCATTGTCAATGCCACATGCACTTGCTGTAGATGTACTCCTTCCAACCGTCCACCCAGAAAAATCAGAGGCAATGCTTCAAGGACAATGAATACATATGAATACGTTTTCCAAGTCTGGTGTGTTGGCGTTTAGGGCGATTGGTGCGCAACCCCTGCTTGCACTTGTTCCACAAGAGTTCAACACAAAGGATATCAAAGACCTACAGTGAATGTGTTGGCTTGTGCTCGCACCATCATGTAAAGGGGGGCAAAACATATGTAACGGGAAACGGGCACATGCCTATGTATATATATATAGGATTATATAGGCATTCAGAGAGCTTTTATGTTCCATGTTTAATGAACTGATATGCCGATAATCACAGAGCTCCTCCCTTTCTAGACATCCACATACCCCGTAGAATACAAGATAAACAAAAGGTTGTCAAGCATCTGCACCAGAAAAAATAAAAACCTGGACAACAAAACGATCTATAATATAGTCCGAACTAAATCAACTCCACCTGTGATTTTGTAAATGCATCCCACTTTGGGATTCCTCTGGGTCCGGAGCCCAGTCTTTCCCGGTCCAAGGTGCAGTGAGGCCGCCTGCCGGAACTCCTGGAGACAAAAGGACAAGGGTACATTTAATCTGGCAAAAACGAATGCATCGGTGTTCTGTGTGGCTTCTCTTGGGACAAACATGCATTCTCGGCATTCAACTTCGAGTCGACGGGTGGTTCTCTCTGGAGAACCAATGCATCGGTGGCGTGTGGGAGAGGACTTCCATGAAAGGTGAGAGTCTGACGAACCATCGATGCTCGTACGGCTTCTACTACTGGTTTCATTGAGTGCCCCAAGCCGCTTACGGAAGTGCAGCAAGTGAAGCATTGGGGCTCGGTCCGGGACAGTGTCTTTGGCACCTGGACGGTGTGAAATTGAGTGTCTAGGTCATAAACGATGCATGTTTAGACCCAATCATCGACACCCTATGACAAGCTCTCGATCATTGTCTATCATATGTAGTCTATAACTGTACATAAAATAGATATCCTTAGGGGCTCCTGGCATCGCTACTAGTAACGAGGGCATTACTCGGAGCAAATAGCTACTAGGATGTTGGTGACCCGAAGGACGCCCGGTCCTCCTTCGAGGACTCGGCCACCAGGCCCAAGCACCACCTCCCGAACGCAGGTCCTGGCAACGCGCATAAGGAACCGTACTGAAGGTAGATGCTAGAATAATAGTTTATATGTTTGTATTCAATCATTAAAGCCAAAATCCAATGAGATAGAAAACATATATATAAAAGTGCAAGATGTGTATAATCTAGCCGACGACTCAAACCAGCCCAGTGAAGCTATAGAAACCACCCAAACGACCAACACCAGGTCCTTCCATCCCAGGAGCCCAAGTCACAGTAGCGGCCGGGAGGCAGCTGTGTGGCTAAACCGCTCAGCTGCCAGCGACCGGCACCTCTGCCGTAAGAGGTGCGGGACAGTGGACGAATGGCCCCGATAGGATGAGTTTGTGCCTCTGAGATGATCATGTAGTGCCCCATGTTCCATGTGAATGACGAGATGATCTTCTGTGTGCCAAGTGTATCACTTTGATGATCTTCTGTGTGTCTACACCCGGGCAACGGGCACTACTGGCTGCCACCGAGGGTTTGCTATGACATGTTCCATATGGAAATTGTGTTCTTTCCTCCCGGCTGTCCTCTACTGTAGTTATAAACGGTTCTGTTTGCCAAACCCCAGTTCATAATGCTGTACATACATTCGTGAAAACCTGCGAAAAGCATTCGATGATAGAAATTGAACTGCCATGGCCCAGCCTCGTGCAATGGCCACAAAACAGCTGCCGCCCAGGCGGAAAGCCACGTGCCCAGGCGAAAGCAGGGTCCCGCCGTGGCCTGAAGCAGTTTTCACGTGGGATCTCAGCCCAGCAGGATTTTGACATTTTCTGCATGGGACATTATCAAGAAAACCTTCAAACGCATTCAGTGACAATCGTTCCCTCCCTTGTGAATTTGGTAAGTGTGAAGAACCTTAAATAAATCAGGGGGCTCCCACAACAAAGCGTGATCTCTTCAGGTCTCTTCAATCTGTCTGGCTCTACACAACGCGCACCCAGGAAAAGACATCGTTTGGACACTTTTGGAGACTACCACCTGGACCTGCATGCCCCCACCTGAGTGCCAGGACTCAGTCATGGGCTGTCGACAGCTGCGGCGAAAGCGGATAAGGCCAGCCACGCCTTGCCACCTGGTCCGTGAGTGATAGGTTTTCATCAAGATCATTTGCAGGGACTTAGAGGTCAAATTGAAGAGCATGTTGATAGACTAACGTCATAGTCTGATTATCACTCGTGGACATTGGCCTCTTCACGATAATCGCAGCAGCTTGTGACTATCAGAATCACCTCCCCAAGTAGTCGCCGGGGGCAACCTTTGTTCACATGTGGGACTGCTATCCGTCCGCAAGCTGCCATCTGGAGCATGCTACATCACAAATCTTGCCCGGAGGTGTGCGGGCGGAAGTCTGAATCCTCTGCATCATCCACCCTTCCAAGCTCCAAGCAATGAACTCATTCTCCGCCCCTGACTCCAGAATCCAGCACATGCAGTGCTGCGTCGGCTGCAAAAGAATGTCTTCCTCAAGGTGCCGAAGTCGTGTGCCATGCGAACCGCCTTTCATCGGAGTCTCACCAAAGCGGATCCCTCATCAAGCTCGCTGCTCATTGGCTTGTGCTGGGATCCTCCTTGAAGAAAATTGAGCAACAAAATCAGAACTCCACAATGGCAAGAAAGCAAAGAAGTTAAAAACTATCATGGTTGTTGAAAGTTGATGGTTGAGCAAACTGTAGGAAGGCTAAAAACATCCTTTGGGAGAAAATGCGCATCATGCTATACATATATTACATCATAAGTGATATGCACGCTGCATGCTGAGTCATGCTGCAGGATTGTTCTCAAATCCGTGCTTGTTTTTTTGTGATTCTTTCTCACTTCGAGCTGTTGAGTCTGGGAAAAGTGCATGCTAGTGCTTCGGCCCAACAACTTCATGCTGGGAAAGCCATGTCTTGAGGCCTGAAGATCCTAAGGATTCACGGACCTTCCTGCTTCTTCTCCTTAGAAGCATCCATAAATCTGTGTTTTGTATCAATCTATCATTCTGCAAGCCCGTCTGGTACGTCCATTTCTGCGCCTGTGTTCGCAAACCCAGCGCCGGTCTTCCACGTCACCTTCCGCCAAGGGTGAGGCGCCTGGGGTCGCCATACCTGGACGGTTCGCGGAAGCGAAGTAGGCACCAGCTGCTGCAGGGCCGCTAGTAGCGCCGGTGGAAGGGACGGCCGATCCTAACTAGGAACGTCCTGTTTTTGCGGTTCCTGACGAAGACCTTGGACGAAGACCTTGGAGGTTGTTGGTCCAAATGATTTGACATGATTCAATTATCAAGGTGGGCTAGTTAGAATCCTACTGAGTTAGAACTTCATAGAAAGAAAATACATGAATTGTAATGAACATACCCAAACCTGATAAACATTGATACACATCCGAATCCCAGGTAGATTCATCTTTTGATTCATGTCGGTTCTTCTGCTGTTGCCTCTCTCACCAGTCGGTCACCGGTGGGCAAACCTTCTCCGTGGCCGGTCCCCGGTGTTTCCTCGTCAAGTCACAGCCATCTTGATGAGGAGACGTAGCAACGCAACGGGCAGCCCCACCTAGCGTTCATGTGGGACAAACGGTCGCTGGCTTGACTTGGCGTCAACATCTTTCACGCCAACAAAACATTAGGGTTCACTACCAGTCCTCCCAAACAGGACATTCGACTTCCTTTGCGTTGATCCTGTTTTTTCTCCTTCATTACAGCGGCCTGGCTCGCAGCCGGGGGGTCCGTCATCGATCTGTCGCCAGGCGTAGCCGCCCCAAAGCAGCACGGTGATCGGGAAGGGCGAGGCTAACCTCGGAGCGACCAAAGTCAGGACGAGTCTCAGGCCTGAGCCGATCTGGTTGAAGTCTGATGCACTACGCTACGATGGACTCCATGCAGTTCCAGCCGTTCTGAACATGTTTGCCATGAAACTGGCAGGTCAAACAACACCCAGTTTGAAAAGGGACGCTGCTAACATCTGCACATACCAAGGAACATGAACAGCTGCTGCTGGTGGAAGGCCAAACCATTCCTCAGGGCGGTTTGATTGGCAGTTAGTCGAGAGGCTACGTGTTGGTGAATGTCCTGCTTCGTCCTGCTGCGATAGAAACCCGCTCAGATCTACATAAAACAAGCCAACTCCATCAAACTCCCCAACACAAAAGGCCTTCAACACGAATCTGGAGTCCAGGTCATTTTGGTCCCATCCGCCTCAAACGACCCAGAACATAGTTTCTTGATGTGTCTTCACATGGTGTTTCTTTCTACGAAGTTCGGAATGGCGCAATTCAAGAATCTCCTCGTCAACTCTATGGTTCCAAGTCGCTTGAAGGTTGGCACGGCCGGATCAGCCTCGGCATTGGACCCTTGATGATCGTCTCTCGACGAGCGGCCTGAGCTCCTTACGAGCATCCAGTGATTTGGACATCACCTCTGCAAACCAGGCCCCCCAAACGCGAACCCCGGTGGATGAAACATGATGAACCCCTTCTTCAGTGGATCGATGGAAGGGTGTTTTGGCTCCGGTTTGGAATCCCTCAATCTCACCAACGCGCCGCCCCACTGCATGTCGGCCGCAGGCAGTATGAAAGTCCGTCAGCAATGCACCAATCACGAGGAACTGAACCAGGGACCACAGTGACCAAGCAAGTAATTCTCTCTCTATATATATACACATGGATTCACGGATCTGCTTCTAACAGAAGACCCACCTCGGCACATGTTTCGAGGACGGAAATCGAGCAAGAACACGAAACACGTGGATTGACTATCCCCCTCCATATGACCAAGGAGCTCGATCACTTCGGCCATCATGAAAGCCTCGTGGTGCTGGCTGGGTGGAGGCTTAGCAAGACGAACGTTTCGTGACTCCATGTGAAGTCTTCAAAAAAAAAATTATATATATATATATCCACATATCTCCACTGCACTCTTCAAGATGCTGTTTGTTCATAACACCTGGCACCTTTCAGTTGAAGGATGCTTCAACAGGACCCCCATGTTTTTCGGAGGATGCCCACATAGTTTGCAGAAAGAACTCTTTCATCTGTAGCATCCGACGCGGTGGAAGGCACACCAAAAAGCGCTCGATGGCCAGGTCCGCCCAAGAGTTTCACGGCCCAGCAGCAAGTGGGATACACGGCCTCGTTGGGATTGATGTAGAAATCCCCTCGGGTGACGTTCAGCACCTGGCCAGGGATTTGGAGGGATTGTCCCATGGGATAAGATCAAAGAAGAAAATATCTGTACTATATATATATACATATATTGTAACAACCAGACTGGTCATGCTCTTGGCCAAACACATCGACTGCAACTTGGGCCAAGCAAAGGGGGTGTTGTGCTTACGACCAAGGCTCACCTGCAGGAAATTTCCAAGCTTGGTAATACTTCGGAGCTTGTTGCCTTGATTCCGGCCACCGATTCGATTGAGCTTTCTCACCTTGCAAGCAAGCTTGAAGGCCCATATGAAGTGTCGCTGTCCGATCCCACCGCAAAAATTGCGTACAAGCGACTTGTCCACATGGTTGTACCCTAAGTCACCCAAATTAGTAATTTTACTAACCATAAAATTTACGTAAATTTTTGGTTTTACTAAGGAAAATTTACGTAAAAATTTACGTAAATTTAATAGTAAATCCAATTTAGGTTATGAGTAAATCCAATTTAGGTTATTAGTAAATCCAATTTAGGTTATTAGTAAATTTTTTAGGTTATGAGTAAATTTTTGCGAGCATGATTTTGAAGCAGAAAATGTCTCTATTTATGTGAGTTGGCTTTCTCCAAAGAGGCAGGTTTTCTACAGGACAACATGTACTTGAGGATATTTGCGCTATGGATTTTTGTTTTTGTTGACTGAGCATGCCAGGAGGTGTGGACTTTGCCTTTACTTGAAGGGATTGCATTTACTTGAGCATGTGTACCCTTCTTGACTTGAACAAAACATTTTTACTTGAGGGTGTCTACTTGAGGGAGTAAATTTACTTGAGGATATGTACTTTTCTTCACTTTAGGAAGAAGAGCATTCTCTGATTCTCTGATGGTTTTTGCCAGTGTGAGGGTGCATGTTTTATGTGAGAGATCTTTTGGCTCTGTGAGAAGAAGAAAAAGAAGAAGAACAAGAGACACCTCAGCAAGAAGGAAACAAGCAGTGAAAGCGCAAAGCTGACAAGATTCTTGGACTGAACTTTAAACAAGTTTGCTTGTTGAAAATAAATTGTTCAAGTTTGTATTAACTGCAGCAAATGAACAAGAGTTATGTCAATGTTGGCTTGAAACCATTGTCAGGAGGCGTGACCGCATCAATGCCATGATGGACTTGATGAGGACGCTGCAAGATGACAGCAGTTCATCTCTGGAATCCTTGGAGTGAAAAAGACACAAGCAGCCTTTGGGGTAGAGTTGAGGGCACGCATTGTGACATGATGTTGAGAAGCTGTTACATGAAGAAGATCTGACTTTACTTGAGAAGCTTTTACATGAGGGTGTGACTTTACCTGTTGAGCTTTTACTTGAGGATGTGATTTCACTTGAGCATGGCACACTTTACTTGAGCATGGCAGACTTTACTTGAGCATGGCACACTTTACTTGAGCATGGCAGACATTACTTGAGGATGGTTTTACTTGAGTGTATTTTACTTCAGTGGTTGAGACTTTGTGTAAGTATACTTTGCATGAGGACGCCATTCAACTTGGAATTGTGTGCTTAGTCTTGTCTAGTTTTGTTGTGAGTTGAAGTGTATTTGATATGTATTTATGAAATTTAGTTCAAAAAACTAGAAATTTAAGAGAACATATTGATGAATTCTTGATGAACTTTTCAAAAGTGTATACACTTTTGATCAAAAGTGTATACACTTTTGTTAAAAGTGTATACACTTTTGAAAAGTACATCAGAAGTGCATCAAAAGTGCATCAAAAATTCATACAATTTTTTTGACAGATTTTATGAAAAGCTATGATATTCTGCATCATATTGTCAGCAAAAGATATCTAGCATTCTTGTGGGTTTACCCTTTACCTGAGAATGTAATGCTTTTGCACAAAGAGTTGATCAGCATTGTATGTTGTTCAATTTGAAGTTGGTTTATCCTTTACCTGAGAATGTAAAGCTTTTGCACAAAGAGTTGATCAGCATTGTATGTTGTTCAAATTGAA